TAACCTGAGTGTTCGTGGGAGAAAGCATCTCTGAAACCGCGTTGTACGCGACCATTTAGGCTGTAAGGTATGAGGGTGAACTCCCTGTCGATGGCGAGCCGTACGATGATAGAAAGTGGCCGTAGGCATCATATTGAATAATTCCTCTGAGCACAATCCGTTGTACAAGCGGTAGAACACGCAGAGTGAGGCAAAATCTCTCCTAAGACTTAAGGGTTCGATACCGCTTGCAAGCATGGGATCATCGACAATTCTCAATTAATTACAATCATCAATTACACTAACTCAATAACTTTTTTTTTACAACACAGGGGTCTAACAAGCATGTGGCTCACCTGATGGTAAGTGACTACCGCCGCCCATGATCACTTACAACACCAACGGCATTGCAGGTGTGCTGCCGGCCTTTTAAAAAGGAATATGCTCTTTTCTTGAAGGTTATGTTGTCGTATCGGTTCGGAAATACTGCTGCTGGAGATTGATTCCAAAGAGTGGTTGTGCGTGGAAGAAAGTGCTTTGAAAAACGAAATGCCAACATAGTCTATACCTGGCTTACATATCAGGTATTACAGCGGATCGATTGCTGCACACTCAAGTGGGTCAATCAGCCGACGGCGACGCGCCCTGCCCTCATACACCTTTGTGCTGCACTGAGATGCACAAAGGAGGCTGCCTTGTGTTATGCACGCTATATCTACTAGTACCTGCAGTCTATACATACGAGAACTATGACGACACGTAGCTCGGAGTCTAGGCGTTATCAAGACGAGATGTGGGCATCTAGACAAGTGGCAAGTGAATTTGTCGATGGACTCGACATCGCTAGCGAGTCCTTGAAACAGTTACAGGATAGATGAAATGAAATGAAATGAGATTTATTCGTAGAAAACATAACTGTAGTTTCTTAACTAATATTAACCCTTAAATACCTGAAGTTTCAAATTTAATACCGGGGTTATAAATCGCATTGGGCGCCTACAATCGATTTTATTTTAATATTTGGCTGTTTACATGTTACCAAATGTTTTGTTTTTTTTTTCAAAATAAATATATAAAAATATCGTTTTGATTTTTATCTTATTTTTCCCCATTTTTTTTATGAATGATAATGGAATGGTAACCCCGCCTGCGCTATCGGTATACACTGGCGGGGCACCAGTGAGAGATGATAGGTAAGAATGAAAAAGCAGGTCAATTAGCCCATCGTGACGAGTTCACTTAAAATTCAGCACGATGGTTTCCAGGGGGGACCACGTGGAGGTTGACCTTTTTGGACATATTGCTAACAATGAGACTGGTAGTGCGCATTATTAACAACCCCCCCCCCCCTATTTTTCCCCATTAGTAAACACAGTAAAGGGTACACTTATATATATTTTTATTTGATTAAAAAAATCAGGCTTTTAAGGGTTAATAAAATAGTTTTATAAGGGTACAGTAATTATGGTTTTTGAACTGGGCTTTTAAATAGGTTAATATAATAAACTATGTTTAGGGGCCACAATGAGATGGAGCGACGACCTCAAATGCATTGTGGGGAGTCAGTGGATGCAGTTAGGACCATTCCTTATAGCAGTCTATTGCGGAGGCCTATTTTCAGCAGACAATTTACCTTATTTAAGATAATTTTCGAAACATCGAGATAGTTCAAGTAAATTTTATAGTTTACCTAAACAATCGCGTTATTCCCGTCTCTTCTTCTTTTCATTTAAGAGTTTCCTCTTGTCAATGCAACTAATTCATGCATCTTCTTCCAGCCAGCTCTATCCCAGGCCATATCCTTGACCTCCCTATACGACATGACACCTAGTGTTTCCTTTATCTGTCCCATGTAGTTATTCCTCGGTCTTCCTCTTCCCGTCTCTTATAAAACATAAAACATGCAGCGCAAAAGTGAAAAAATTAAAAAGATTGTGTCCTTCAAAAAACTATTTCTATAGATTGTATCCGTAGAATACCAGTTATTACGATTTAAAAACTAAATATAATGAACGGATTTTGATAAAATTTATGTTCTATAATCAATCTATAAGTTATATGGTTTTAGATAAAAAAAAAAGAATTTCCCAAACCGAACGAACGGGTTTAATAAACCTTAAAAAACCGAATTAGTTAAATAATTAAGAACCTTCTACTTTTTGAAGTTGGTTAAAAATTGTATGTTGTCACTATAACTGTATTAATACACAAACTATACTGTACTGCACTGTACTGGTCAGCGGTCAATTACATAGACAAAGCCCAATCGACGTCTCGTCAAAGGCTCGCAGCGTTGTCCGGCTGTACGCTTGTCCGCTATCTGCACGTCTGTCCGGGCCTGCCGCCTGTCCGGTGCCGGACGCGGCGCTTTGTGGTGTGACGTCGCAGCGACGTCGAGATGACGTCCCGGTTAGATTGCTTGTCGCGTCACGCGGCCCGAGTGCCTTTGTTAGAACAGGGACAGAATAATATTGTATTGTTTTATTGATTTATTGATCGCAAGAAAATGGAGATTATTGTCAAATCTAACTAGCTCTGTGCCATGGATTCACTCGTGGTCTTTGATTAGCCTAAAACCTTCCTGAAAAATGTGTTTTTTTTACACAACTTAGAATGGCGAACAAGCTGACGGCCCACCTGATGGAAAGTGGTAACCGTGGCCTATAGACATATGCAGTACCGTGGACATAACAGAGTATACTGTTTCGCCCATTATACCCCCATGCGTTGCCATTCCTGCTGTTGTTATTCTAGGGATTAACGCGTCCATTAAAAAGAAAACTTCATAACAAATACCTGACCGGTTTCGGCATTAAAAACATTTAAAAAAATATATTGACATTTGTTTTTCCCGTGCAATCGGTTAAAGAATGGCGTTCGTGATTCACTGTTCATCCCAAAGGTTGACTGGTAGAGAACGCTACTAGCATTGAGTCCACCTTTTGTATCATGCTTTATTCTGGTCAATAAAGTTATTTAATTAAGTAAATGTATATTGTATATAATCTATCTTCTAGTTTTTCAATAAGTACTGACAATCATTAATAATATTTCCAACTGTAGAGTTGAAAATGACGACAGGTCGTCAGGTTTTTTCAATCCTGTATCCACTTTAATAAATTTTCTTTATAGTGACTTATGGTGTTCAAACAGGATGGTCATTTTTCAATCGAAAGTGATTTGCTGTGCCCACTGCCCACCCCAGAATTGTCCGGTGACTACTCCATAATGCGAGCGAAACTTCACATAGACATAGATACTAGCGGCCCGTCCCGGCTTCGCACGGGTGGACATTTTGACAACATTTTAAAAAGTGGTTATTGTGACATAACGATCATAATTGTACATATAGTGTCGCGAAGTTTTTTGTAGTTATTGATATTTTCTTCAATATTGTAGGATACTTTTGTTCTATCACAATATCACAATAGTTTCCGCAGCGCACGCGACGAAAAATATTTTATTGCATTTTTTTACACCTTGAGTTACGTTACTAAAGTTTTAGTAAGGACTCCTAATATTTTCTAACAATAAATATAGCCTATGTTACTCAGGGTGAATGTAGCTTTCTAATGGTGAAAAAATTTTTTAAATCGGCAAAGTAGTTTTTGAGTTTATTCATTACAAACATACATACACACAAAAATACAAATATTTCCTCTTTATAATATTAGTAAGTATGCGCCTTTTTCAATCAAGGGAAGGAGGGGATTGCTAGTAATGCGGACTATCAGTCCTATTGTTAACAATGTACCCTGTCAGGTCGACCTCCACGTGGTCCCCCCTGGAAACCATTTTGCTGAATTCCAGGTGCATTTATCACAATGGGTTAAACGACCTGCCTTTTCATTCTCACCTATCATCCCTCACTGGTGCCCCGCCCGTGTATACCGTTATCGTAAACGGTGTTTTCGTTCCATTATCATCCATAATAACCCTTCCACCCCGGAGTATAATCTTAAATACGCCAATAACTCCTTATTCGTACCAGAAATAGATGTGGTTAACTCTGTCCCACGCGTGTGTCTACTGTGAAGCAACTGTACTTGCATGGCTGCGTTTCGGTTTGAAGAATGCGACATGGTGGTAAAATTACAGGGTACGGAGGAGATGCACTCCAGTCCTCAGTAGTCGCAACGCATGAAGGGTATCATGGTACAAAATATTCTGTAAGCTGAGGTAGTTACATGGTGCAGTTCATGTCAACAGGTAGTGTTGCCAGGTGACCCGATTTGCGCGGGACGTCCTGATTTACGGGAGTCTAGGGACGCGTCCCTATTTGTACCTGATCGAGACGCTAAATGTCCCGATTAATCAAAAAATGAAAAGGTTTTTTCATCAAAATATGTACTACACTTAAAGTACGATTTAATTTTATAATTTGTACTAGTCCAGCAAGACTGATCACATGTTATGTAAGATTAAATACATATTTATTTTCGGTAATTAATATATTACTATACTTGCACTAGTAGTTTAAAACGCGATAAATTGAACCCAGAGTTAAAAACCTCTTGTTTTTTGTTTACTGTCCCAATCTGCAACCTTAAATTCCGATTTTTTTTTACCTCATGTACCGATTTAAAACAAATAGGACCTGGCAACACTATCTACAGGTGACAGTTACCTCTATTCATGGGCTTGTTTATTTATCACATACTCTCATATGGGTATATACTACATAAACAAATATATATATAAGGTACATATGTATCTGTGTATGTATATATACATATATATATTATCGCCGTATGTGCTTCGGCATACAATAGGCCATTCTTTCCTTTCCTGTGGGTGTCGTTAGAGGCGACTCAGGGAGAGCGAGGGATGGGCAGCAGCGTCCCTCTTAAAACACCTCCAAAGCCTAATTATGGTTGCCAAATTGCATGCCAAGCGTAGCAACTACTGGCAAAACCTTCCAAGAAGGAAGCTGATGTTCAGCAGTGGACAGTTAAAGGCTGATTGATGAGTAATGTAAGAGGTTGGAATAATAAGATTTTTCTAATGAAATACAACATATGTCGAGTGATGATCCAAATTTATTGAGCACGTACACTATTATTGTTCGTTACATATATTTTACATTAATTGCAATCTCATAGTAATATCGGTTAAGCATCGACCACTACTTTATATTTACAATTACATTAATTAACTATAGGTACTTTGAACACTAAACCCCAACAATGAGCATTGTTTTATTGAAAACTAATTTATCTACACAAAACATTCACAAACCAAAAAAATAATAATATTCAACAAAATCTCTTACTACTAGTAAGTCAGTTTAAACGATTTAGAATTTCAATTCTAAATAATTTTTTTAGAATTATAAACTGTCTAAACTGTGTGAAATTTATACAATTTAGAATGTTATTACTAAATACGATATTGAAAGCTTCATAAAATTTAACACCCCCGTTAACGGAGTGTTCGAATTATTCGAAGCAAATATAAAAATTACGTATGAAAAAGGTATCTGTTTGTTCTATATAATATTTACATACAGTCCGTATAGCGTCACACGCACTAGCCATATGCCTACAGTAACATATGATAGAACTAAAAGTAAGTACATATATATTTCTAATCTCTTGCATCTATTTTAACTACATTAAGTATAAATCCGTATACTGATCAATTATTTGTTAAGTTTCATAATTCTAAATATGTACACAATACAAAAGTATTTAGTAAAGATTATTTTTTACTATTAACACTAAATATTTATTTGGCTTTACAAATCTACTTTATTTATATACTATTGCTATAAAGAGAGACAAATATAATCAACTATTTTAACAGCTCTCGTTGATAGGTTGTAAGCCATGTGTCCTATGAGATCTCATCCTTTATGTGTACGAGTATTTTTCCCATAAAACGATTTTTTATTTCTCACTCATGTGAAAATTATTATTTTCCTTTCCATTCCATATCTGTCGCTATCAAAAACCTCATACTGTGGTGTTAATGTTACACAATTCCTAATACTACAGACTGAAATTTTTGTATGTTTGGACTAACTAAAAATTTTGGGTTTACATTGAGAAAGGAGCGTTTCTTTCTCAACCAAGTCAACGTATGAACCAAAATGCGTATTTTAGTTAACAATACATTAAGTTTTTTATAGTTCAAAATTAATGAAGAGAACTTTTTGAAGGCCATCTTATCCTTTTCTTCCAGATGACCGCAAAACTGGACGTCGCTGGATATATCAACGCCAAGATCTTTGGACTCGACTTATTATCAAGGGAAATGCTTTGAAAGTGAAGAGGCGGCAACAAAAGGCGTCTTTTTTGCGGTAAACGCGCAGATTTGTATCTTGTTATGGTAAAATTGGACAAGGTTTTGGTCACTATTCTATCTAACAGGCTGAGACATCACAGGACGAAATAGAACTAACCCAAAAAGATGATCATTTTCGGTTTATATCTATTAATTGTAACAATCGTCATGAGGTGGAATTAGACCAAGTGAACGAAACTACGTTCCTCTACTCAACAAATAAAATATAATTTTCATTTAATTATACAATTTTCATTCTGTGCTTTATGTTCTTTTTGTGTCTTTATCAAATACAATTCGCAAACCTAATTAGAATCATATCTATCAGTCCTTGCATGCTGGACGCCCCCGTACATCCAGGCGCATTTATATTTGGTCACTGTATCTGATTATTGTTTCGAACCATCGAAATCTGCACAGTCACTGAGTCATAATTTAAAAATATATAATTATTACATGCCAAGTAAGTTATTTACAGAACTACAACTACCACATTGCTGACCTACTGCGACTATCCAAACGTCCAACTATTACAAAACCGTCCAATATTTCAGGTACCCCTAATCAGAGAAGCCTTCATTGTTTGTATTGTCCGAGGTGGGCGAGGTACCAGGCGAGGGCACCTGCAGTTGTCTCCCATACATCAATTCCGCTGGAGGCATGAACGATGAGAGGTAATCAGGGGGAGGCCGTATTACCGTCGGTAAATAACCAGTTCCACTATAAGGTGGCGTTAAGAATCTTCTAGACGGAGAAAACTTGAAGCTTTGGTTAGATAACGGAGAGAAAGCAGATTTGGACTGGTAGTTTTGCAAGTATGGTGGCGACTCTTGAGTTACGCTGTAGGATGTCGTGTCGGACCCGTTCAGCATCATGTCCATAGCGGCCACGACGTCTCCCTTGCACCTCGCCAGGATAGTCTCGATTTCGGACCGACTCCGTCGGGGAAATACTTTTATCAATACATCTACTGGGGACTTCTGGTACTGATGCGAATCTTCTTGGACTGGCTCGGGCGCGGATTCCGGTTTTCTGTCGCGCCGGAACATTTTGTATTTGAAATCTGGATTCTCCCATTTCTCTTCGTCTTCCTTCTTGACAGGTACTTCTTCTGTTCTGGCCTCTTTCATGCTGAGGTTTTCAGGTGTAAGCGATGTTTCTGACTGGTCTTCCAACTCCTCCTCGACGTTAAGCTCGTGGTCTGATGGGGATCGAGGTGGAGGGGTGGAGAGGGGCGGCGTGGGGGCGGGGGTTTTTGTCTCTTGCGGTTGCTGCTCCGTCGGTGGCGACGGACTGGAACATACCTCGGTGATTCGGGCGCGTTTCTGAACTGTCAACAAATGATAATGCACTTTAATAAAGGTACTTATAGTCTCTTTTTGAAGACATTCAAATAAACAGTTTCATCATAATATAATATAGAGACATAATATACCATTCACATTTATTTAAATAAACTAGTTTTAAAAAGATAATGTCAGGGCTGTGTGTAAATACAGTTTGAGGAAACAAGTTCTGTGTTAAGGCTAATGTATACAGCGTGTAAAATTAAAAAAGCCGGCCAAGTGCGAGTCGGACTCGCGCAACGAGGGTACCGCACAAAATCATCAAGTTTATTTTTTTTTTTTTTGTGAAATAACTACAAATTTACGGTCTTCAGATTTTTTACTTTACTTGTGCTACATGACATTGCTTCTTGCCAAATTTCATAATTCTAGGTCAACGAGAAGACCCTATAGGTTTTGATTTCCTTTGCGAATGTCAATGTATGCGATATAAATGGAACATAAACGGCCGTATCTTTTGATTGCGTCGACTTAGAAGCTTGATTTATTCACTGCTTCAAGAGATTGCAGACCTGAGTATATGATATTAACTTCAACTTGATACCTCCACGCGTTCCTAAGAAAAAGGGTCTTGAAAGACAGACGGACGGACGGACAGACGGATGGACAACGAAGTGATCCTATAAGGGTTCTGTTTTTTCTTTGTAGGTACGGAACCCTAAAAAGACCAATACGTAAGAGTGACTCGCGAATTCAAATATCTAAAATTGCTGTATTTATTTATGATTAAATATAATAAAATATAAAGTATTAAAATAAATGAATTTGTAAATATAATGCCTGATCTCCATCTGGAAAAATGATAGATAGACTCTTTATTGTTTCCTCCAAAAGATTACAACAGTAAACTTATTATAAATATAAACAATTACAAGAAATGATCACAATGAGAAAACAATGGGCGGCCTTATCGCTAAGAGCGATCTCTTCCAGGCAACCTTTGGATGGAGAGGAGTAATTATAAACAGTTTGATTGGAGCTTGAGCTGCTCTAGACGGACGTATGTCGACCAAATAGGCGACGTGCTGAAGAAGGGCCAAATTAAAAGTACCCGTAACCGGCGAGCGTGTATGAAAAGATCGATGAATGTGGAAGAAGCGAAAGATGTTTGTTTAAATAGAAGCATTTGGCGTTCCATTGTTTCTGCCTACCCTAATGGGAGACAGGCGTAACAGATGTGTATATATGTATGTATGATTGGAGGCACTAAACTCTGTTCGTTTCTTTAAATCCATATTATACAGATATGCATACGTGCAATAATGTGAATATACAAATGTATTTTTAAGTTACTAATAAATACTTATAAATAAATATGTATTTGTAACAATAAAATAAATAAATATTATTTGGTTAAGTACTATGTTGATTCAATAATCCCGTTACAAGTTTGAATGCTGTATAAAAATATAAACAGTTGAATTTATAAAAACGTCACACCACGTTCCATTTTTGAACAAAACAATTGCACGAAGAGGAGTAGGTACAGTCGCGCGAACAAGTCATTGTGTTCCCGCAATTAGAAAGCGAGTCGTTTTCAGTCGCGTGTGCAAATTTAATGGCGATGTTATTGTTTTTTTTAAGTCCCTGGTAGTGCGGTGTGCTGTAGTGGAGGGGGGGGGGGGGCGTGGAGCGTTGTGGCATATACGGCGAAATGAATTCGATCACAGTTCAATCGAGTGCACGCTCGTATGTTGAATTATATTTTATATTAATAGTTCCGCGCGAGTTATGGATGATTGGGTTCTCATTTTAAATAAGACATTGCACAATTATAATGAAACAAATATAATAACAATGAGTGCTTAATTAGAAAGCTGTAAATAAATACAATTGAAATCTTTGTACGTAGTTGAAAATAATTTTAAATTCTGGACAAAATTAGTATTAAATCAATATGACGATAAACTATTTTAATTGACGATGTTCATATAGAATCATAAACAATAGATAACCTAGGCGGATCTTTCTGAAATCGTTAAAAATAATAAAAAGGTTCAATTTCATGTTTTTTCATGTTAATAGTAATTGTGAAACTAAAGTACTTTTAAAACTTGAATAGACACTGAATTTATTAATTCAATGTACACAAAGATCAATATAAAACGTTCTGTGATAAAAAAGAAAACACAAAGAAAAGAAAAAAATATACCTTCTTAAACATTCGAGTTGAAGTGTAGACGTAGGTAGCGCTACGCCCTCGCTCCAACACAATACGCGAACAAAAATTTCATTAAAATAATACGCCATTTTGTTTACACAATACAAACACACTTTTCATTTGTAAAATTACAATAAAGAAAATAATACTGGCCATTTTGAATCTCATTATGCGGGAGGGAGCGCGATACAAATAGTTTTATTTGTGATGAAAGGGATGTATGGTTCTATTGAATTTGGCTCTGAATTAATAAAGACATCTGCTTGAAAATGATATATACATTTTTATTTTTTATTTTGTGTACCTAATATGCGGTTAGTTTTACTATTCATTAAATAATTATAAGGTAACAGTAAAGGGGAATTTAAATGTGGAGCGTAAAAGTAATAAGATTTTGTATTGTTCACACTACTTATGAGTTTCAAATTTATTTTATAATTCGTAATTAAATTGTAACATGGGAACTGTTTTATTACTATATTTAGTTACACTATACGTACGATACGTATTAGGATTTTTATTTTCTTCTATTAACTTTCTAGAATGTTTAACATAGCTATAATGTAGTTAATAATTTGGTGTTATTTTCAATGTACATTATTAATTTTATCTATACAAAGCTGTAGGTATGTTGTGTAGATTTATGTCAGAAATTTGTTTAAATAATAAGAAATCTATAAAATTATGTACATCAGTTTGTTTAAATGGCGAAATCGATATTTTTTAAGCTAATAAATATGATTCATTCATTCATAAAATCGAACTTTGTCAGATAATATATATATTTTGTACATAATTGTAAATTTCGTTTCCTTTCTGCTTTCATGTAAATAACTTTTATTTGCCAGTGAAAAATATCATAATTTTATATTGTGTAAAATAGTCAGTGAATAATGAAACACTCTTCACTACCATTAGTGTACATCAAAGAACAAGGAATGATACTAATATTGTACTATTATAAAATAAAACTAATTTATTAGGTCGCATTTTAATTTCACGAAAATTAATATGTCGCGCGACGAGTCGGCCTATGTTTGGTAATGATTTACGCGTCTGTTTATAACACTGGCCGGTCGCGGAAACAAAAGCAGCATTGTATTGTTCAAACGATAATGTCAAGGCAGCGTTGCGGAGTAATTGATATACACGAGGTAATTACGAGACTGGAATGGGGACGTGAAAATAACTACTGGCTCACTTCTGTCCCTATCGAATGCCGAAATCACGACGAATTGACGTCAAATGGTATAATCGTCTATTTGAAATAAAAAATCAATATATAATTTTGTGCAGTAATTGCAAATTTGTACTATATTTTATCAAATATAAGCGAAAAATATCTACTTTTTTATTCAACGATCATATTGTCGTATAGTTCTCTTGAATGTCAGCCGCTACCAAATCTACAAACACTTGCAAGTTGCAACACTAAAGGCATTACGTGCACATATTATCAACTTCTGCGAGTACTTTTCTATTTACTTTTAACTCTATCCTACTCGAATTCTGCTGCGACATGCTTACATGGTTGGAATTTATTTAATTATTTATTTATTTATGGGATCACCAACATAAGATACAGTGAAACATTTCAATACAATACACTGGCAGATTAGATCTAACTCTTCTTACATTTATAGGCAACCACAGCATGTTTTGTGTTTGATAAACATCAAAATGGAATTAAATTATTAATTTTATAAATTTTAGTTAGAAAGGTAGAGTATAGTAGTTAAGAGAAACGGGTTGATAAATTAAAATGCTTAATATTGTAGTTCTCTTTTATCACGTCTTCATCGGTAGGAAAACAAAGACTAATAATGACAGAATTGTAAAAACATAAGAACAATAGAAATATACAAATATGACAGACGGAATATGATGGCCAGTTATATAAAAGGCGTATTGTGATGGCCAGTAATACGCCACAGTAGTAATAATATTAAAGAGTACGGAGACATAACACCTTTACCCTCAAGAATGGCAATGGATAAACGATAGATAAAATGGACATCAAAGTATGCTTTGTAGTGTCAGTAGTGCCATTCATGTCTGTAAGCAACGGTTGACACTTCTCATTAAACGGTCTATCAGCTCGTTAGCTATTCAAAATTCTAAATAAAAAAATCTATAATAAGAAATCACTTTTCTTTGCACATGTACAGTGTTGAGTTGAAACACAGGGTACTAACAATAAATAGTGACGCCAGGCGGCAGCACTGGCTCAGTTCCAGTGTACACGACACTACGCCACGCCGCAACACGCCGCAACACGCCGCGTCGCGTCGCATTGTGCGGTGATTTACCGCCGCGTGTTACTGACGACTCACTAGCGACTAGATTATTATTCATGTGTGTACCGGATAATTTATAACAATTGAGCTAGATGTATACGTGTATTAGTAAGTAATATTGTAGGGCAGTTCCAGTTGTGGTTTCTTAAAAAAATTGTAATATATCCATGGTGTTGTTCATATCTATAGGAGACTGAGAATTCTATTGCTACCAATATACCCAACCTGGTCCATCTCCTCGCGGTTCTCCCTGGAAACTATCATGGTTAATTCCTGATGAATTTATCATGATGGGCTAACTGGCCTGTTTTCATTCTCATCTATCACCCTTCACTGGTGCTCCGCCAGCGTATCCCGTTAGCGCATGGGTTACCATACCATTTTCACCCAGCAAATAAAAATCAACCGTTGTACTTACCGTTGTTCGTATTTATGGATCATGTGCGTGTGTGTGTGTCACATATCGTGATATAATCAAAACCAGCGAATAGGTAAATTTTAGAAAAGTACACAAGTAGACATGTAG